GTTCCGATTTCAAGATTGTCCATGTTGGGGCCCCTTATTGATTCTTCGAATCCCTGTGCTGATTTGAATGATAATTCACTTAGGCGACTCGATCGTCCAGAGCTGATTATCCCGTCCGTTGATGTTGATGGAGGAGCGAATGTTGGCATCCACTTCCTTGGCAGTCCTAAGTCGATTAATCTGCTAACCGTTCTATTCCGATAAATTGAAAATTTCCCTAAGTCACAATAATCTAATGATGCAATATACTTAATAACGGGCCATATATGTGAATGATAGAGTTTATACTGTGATAGAAACCGAGTTGGTAATGAAAAAATCGATTTATAACATTTTGTCCACTCTATGAGTCTCGTTGCTTATACCTTTTCCTTAGGTCAAATAATTACCGCGCGGCTACGCATTGCCCATATTCACTGTGCTATGACATTGCTTCGATCCCAACAGTCTTATCTTCAGAGTCCTCAACAATGCGCTTAGGTATTCACCTAAGCTTAAACAACGGGTAAACTGTAACACTCGGGCTACTGCTGCGAATTCTTGTTGGCTGGCCTGTCGTATTAATACCAATTCCTCCTCGGTTATCGGGCCAGTTCGGGTCGGTCGAGCCAAACAGTCTCGACTACCCAAACGGTGAGGACCACCATAGTTGCGAATCTTAGTGGTAGCTTTGCACTCCGCGGCGGATTGCTGGAGCAGTCACGGGTAGCGTGGTGGCTATGACAGCATCGACACTGCTCGATCTAGCGACGAGGCTGGAGCTTTGTAGCCATTGCAGACTCGTCAAAAAGGCGGAAGCCCGCACGAGTTGCAAACTCCCGAAGAAAAAGGACATGTCAGTTGCGAGTTGGTGCACCAGCATAGCATGTCTCGTGCGGTCGCAATTGTAATGGCTCTTCTAGGGTCACACTAGTGATCTCATGAGAGACCCACTCTGTATCGAACGTTTCGGCGCCCTGAAGGGCGCCGAAGCTTTCACTGGCACATTGGCTATCCTGAAGGCGACAAGATTCAAGGATGGCTCGATTTTGGCATTGAAACTCGCCAATTTCGTTGAGGTATCTAGGATTCTTTGCCAAAATGTCAAAACCTGATGTAACTCGGTGTATCGAGCTACTAGTAATGGAATGTCACGGACTGACTGAGGTGGAGATATTATCCTGCCAACCTCTGGCTCTGACACTATGTGGCTACTGCTATGTCATGGATAGATTCATGTTGTTGAGGTAGAGTCTGATCCTAGCTTCGGCTGGTATCCCTCTAGACAAGTTCTAGTTACTTCGATGGAATTCTAAGCTACTCTGACAATTAGTTTCTAGATGTTTCGGGATGGTATTTTGTACTCTTACTAGTTCAATGGGCTTCAATCAGATTCTAGGTTACTCTCAGGAGTTCGACAGGAACAGGGCTGGAACTTGATTACTGTAGTCTGTAGCAGATAGTGTCGAAGTATAAGTAGCTGACGTATCTTCATGTCAAAAGCTCTCCAGCTTTCAGTCTTGTACTATTCCCTAGATGCCCAAGAATCAAGAGCCAAGTCTTTATTGTTGATATATTTTCTTTACCATCAAGGGCCCAAGATTTAGCGCCTCCAGTTCAAGTTAAGTAACCAAGTCCCAAGAGATCCTGACATGGAAACACATGTGTTATGTGTTGTAATTCTAACAGTCCTGCATCTATTACCCTAGTCATGTACTATCTCGTTTTTGTTGCCCTTATTTGTATTATTTAATACTGCGCCACATCTATTTTCTGCAATATTAATTAGCCTTGGCGCTTGACACAAGATGGGTTGGAAATTATGGCATATACATGATTCTGTCTTACACTCAGCTAGCTTGGGGGTCTACTGGTGGTCAAGACATACCTTCACCATGATAACGTCGCCATACTGGGACATGGGCGCATATCCTGGCTTATTTCTAAATTCGTCTCAGTAGGACTAATTCCTGTATATATATGTAGTGTTCTTCTCCTTCAGAAATCCTCACTTCATAACATTTACTGAATATCTCTGAAGGTCTATTCATACCCTCTTTGTGTCACCCTACCAAGCTTCACACTTAAGCTCTATTCAACTGCTTTGTTGTTCGGCATATATCCTTCACCTCCCTATACCATTCCAGCATTCCTCCACGATCCGTAGCCTCACAATAGTATGTTCCAACAATGCGAATAGGATAGCCGCAGGGGACAATTTGCGCCACGAGCGTTTGCTGTCAAGTCGTAGGAACAGTCGTTTGTCCACTTTAGCCTTGACAACCTCTTTCTTTTGGGCTGTAGCCGTAGGTTGGGGCGCAGTTTTCACAATTAGGACTGCTTTTTGTCGCATTCCATTTTGTACCACTGTAGCCTAGATACTTGTTGTAAGCTTGGCTAGGAAAGCGGGAGGGTTTTGGCTCTTGAATTTGGAACTCTGAGAGGCGAGTTTGTCGGGCGGGGAGAAAGGACGGGCGGCGAAGTCGCCGTACCCGTAGCCATGTATTGCGAAATGGCAACGCGCAGATAGACTCTCATAGAGTCTATAAATTGTCTTTTTGACCCTGTGGTCAAAGGGAGGAGTGTTGCTTCGACGCCAGAGATGGCGGCGGAGTAGAGTGCCGTATTTGCCGCTGTCTGAGCGGTGTGTCGTTCTTCGGCCGCGAGAATATGTCGAAGCTCGGGCGGACAATCTGCTTTGGCAGCAGTTTTTGGCTGCCACGTTGGTTTTGACTCGATCGGAGAAGATTTCGAAGGTCCTTCTATCTCGTAGGAGGTGGAGGATGTTTGATGGATCTCCTCAACAATTTCGACTGACCAGATCATGCTAGTTTTTTTTTATATAAATCATTTAATGTGTATTCAGCTATAGAGCTATGACGCATGACCGGTGCTATGTATACATATTGGATGACTCTTTTGACGTTAGAGACACTCATACTCTGGATTACATTTGCAAATACCACTATGAGGTATGTTCGCTTACACAAACAGTCGACCCTCCTCTGTAAGTACCCACCAAAGGGAATTTAAAAACCTTTGATTATCCAAGCATGCCTTCATCATCCGTGCATACCAGCGCCGCGAGAAATGTGGTTGTGTTTTGCCGGATTTGAACCAGCGATCTACTGTCTCAAGTGGGATATATGTCCAAGCTATCCAGACTCTACTTGGCAGACCGGCCAAGATGATGTACCACCGCATCATCCAACCATGGCAGTTTTTATAGTGTCGCCTGCACTCTTGCAGCCGAAGACTTGGCACGCACAAAGCTCAATTTGTAAAAACTCCTTTCCAAAATTCAAAATTCCACGCCCGTCGAGACTCTATCCAATCCTCTGCATCATCTTATTAACTTGTCCTGATCCCTCTCACATCCATCCCAAGGAATTGTCTTCCAGATTTGTGCGCCACGCTTTGCTTCCTCCGTCGGGTGTAAATATCGGCGTGGGCGTGTATCTGGCGACCAGCTAAGGCCAGAGAAAGTCGACAAGAGGTGTGGTCATTGGGATTAGGATGTACTAGGTCGTACATGTAAACTTGATGAGGTTTAGGTAGGAATCGATTTCGTTGGGAGAGAAAGATTGATATGGTGGAGTATTTTGAATCATTGCCTCGAGGGCCAACTTGTTCGGTATTGCGAGATTTGACTGAACTTGGCTCTGGGAGAATATTTCACTCCTAGGATCGTAGAGGACACCGCGTACAGGTGTTCAGTCTTGCCCTCCAGATCATGCTAGTATCGGGCGTAGAGACGATGGGAAGGGCTTTTCCCTTCCATTTGCTTGAGGCCTTGTCCATTTGCATGCATTTTGGAGACTGGGCAAGGCTTGCTGTTTGATTGAGAGCCCTCAGGTGGTCCCTCGTGTTATACAACAAGACATGTGGACGTTTTTTGGAACAGGTGGTTCGATAAGAATACCAGAAGCACAATCCTGATATTCTGCAGGTGTGTGATGAGCGCGAGAGGGGGGGAGATGTGGGAAAAGGGAATATTCGAAGATAGAGGTTATGCTTAACGCTAGTTAACTTGATCCGGCCCGGTCCCACTCGTGCTTGAGCTCTAGTCTTTTGTCATAGCTAAATAGCTGAATACATTATAAATTTAAAAAAAATAAAAAGCTCCAGTCTGAGTAAAATGAGTGCTACTTTGTCCGGGATATTAATGAACAAAAAATGGCACGATGGGCCTAGTCAAGACTTATGTTTAAACTATTGCTTTGCCAACTTCGTGCCTTGACTTACATCACCTTTAAATGTTAGACTACAACTAACCATGAGCTACTGTTCAAGCGTGTTCCTTATTAGTCCTAAATTAGGTAATATTCCTTCTCATACAATTAATTGGTTTATCAAATGAAATGGAGTTAACTTTGTTCAACGAGGATGCTCGCCAAACGCTACAGATGGTGGTGGGTAACTGACCAATATGCCTACTGGCTAAAGGAGCCCACAGTCCCGCTCCATTACGCCAAATGATTGTTATCCAACTGCGTTTATTACTCGAGTCGTTGACTTCATGTCAAGTTATTTGTGTGTCTATTGATGGGAAGAGACTCCTCACCGACAATCTATACCAATCAAGTATGTGTTAAGTCTCATACATTTGCTTCTTTTACTACATGGTCATATGATTTTATAATTCAATTTGATTTAAAATTAAAGTTTCAGTCTTCGCAAGTGGATACGTTGTTACAAAAGTACAGGTTCTGATAATATGACTCGATCGATCCACCATTTTTATGGCAAAAAGTAAATAAAATCTATAGTTTTTATAGACATCTATGTAGACCGAACTTTTTGCGACTGAGCGGAAATTATTAATATACCAAGATCCCCCTAGCCTAAATTAATCCATTCACTTCTGTTGCGCCAGAAACTATTGATGAACCATTATGGTTAACTGGTGCGGAAAAAAACACATTCTGGCTTCATCGGATAATTATTTGAACCCAGTTCTGTGAATAGAGCAACCATCATCAATTACAATATTAACACCATAATTCCACAGTCTATTTATATCACGGTCTCTGGGCTAAAATTTCGCAAAGTTGTTGCTCACCTTTACCCCCGTCACCAACTTGTTCAGGAGACCCCGGGGTAATTATAACTTGTGGATTCATGTCTTGTATGACATCTGATAGTCCTGAAACGATATTTGCCTTGTCAACCTGATAGGAGGTTGAAATTCCTAATTTTCTTCCAGATATGTTGTCCTCAACACTAGCTTGATGAGACTTATAGCTACTTTGTTGAGAACTTTCATCATTCAGACTGGGCGTGCCTCTTTTTGTTTTTAATCCGCTCTTTTCAGACATCAGGGCTGGAATACTTTGAAATTTAGGCTTAAATTCTGGGTCGATATTACCAGCATTTTCGAGGTGAGATGTACTATCTCTCTTAGTGAATTTGCCATTTATACTGGTAGTATCAAAAGAAGGAGTGAAACCACGTCCATCCAAGTGATTTGGTAAGCTGCTGGGGCTCATATCATCAAGAGTGGAAATATGAGTAGAAGAGTTCTTGCCGAATTTCAAGGGATGAAATCTTCTTGCAATGGCCAGTGGTGAGGTCCCTCTTTTTTCGTCAGCTATTTTTGAGGTTTGATTTTCTAAATTTCTGGTTGGGTGTGGTATCCAATTAGTGGTATTTGCACGAGTTAGATGCGTGGGGGAGAAGCTATCTAAAATACCGGTAGGCTGACAGTCAACTGCCTTTCCTTTTGGTTGCGATCCTTCAGTATCATCATGAATTACCTCTCGATGGAAAATACTTGCGACACTATTGCCCCGTCGCTTTCCTAATCGAGGGAGATTCACGCTTAGGGCACTACCGCTGGCAGAGCCCCCTACACCCCCATAGACACTCTTTCGCTCTTTCTTCTCCCGTTTTTTAACTTCTTTAAATATCTTCTTGGCTTCTTTTGCAGCTTCCTTCTCGGCATTTTTTTTTCTCTCTTCTTCAGTAGCTAAACTTAGCCGGATTGCTTCAACCATCATTAGCTCTTCAATATCTCTGACCCTATTTCTGCGGGCTTGTGCCTCACTGAGCTGCTGCTCTTTCTGCGTCTGAATTTTATGATCCTGTGCTGTCGTGATGCCGTTTCCATCGTTCCGCTGAGCAGACATTGAGTTCCCACTAGCACTCGGACTATCGCCACTCCGACCCCTCCCCATCCGGTTTGATCTAAAAGCAAAGCTACGATTATCACTGCCTGGATTATTCATTAAATAAGCAGCCGTATGTAGCGCAGTCGCTGCGGCAGATTTTCGCGCCAGATGAGATCTAGCATTTGCAAGCTTGATAGCCCAATCTGGCCGAATCCTATCAATAGTTACGACTGTCTGTGCATCTGCAGAAAGGGAATAAGTCCTGCGCTTTTGAGGATTTGGTGAATGAGATGGCGATAACATGGAGCCAGAGTTAAAAGACAGCGAGGTTGAAGCGTCATAGCCTAGCTCTAAGAAGTCTTCGGCGATATTAGTACTTGAAAGCCCTCTTCGAAAGCTTGGTGGCTCGTAAGTCACTCCGAAATCTGGCTGTTGGCAGTATGGACAACAGGCAGGTTCAGAAACTAACAATTCGAGATCAGTGACAGCGGCTCTTTGAGTGATTAAATCATTGTCGTGGTGCTCAGGCGGGTGCGGTTCGGGTCTTTTTATTTGTACAAAGCATTCCGAACACATTGGCTGGTCGCAACATCGCGTTTTATTTAAATACTGTGGATAACTGAGAAAGCAAATCGGACAATCGACTGTGTCAGAATAGAGGAAAACCTCAATCGCCTTGCCATTGATGTATGGGTCATTTGGTAAATATACTTCTTGGAATCCGTAATCAGAGATAAAGGAATTCTGGGAAGGGTTTGTTAAAGGCACGAGAGTTTCTGGCTGAGTTCGATTAAGTGAAGAAGAGAGAGTCGGTGAGGATGGAAAAAGAGGAGATTTTTGCACAGCATCAGGAAACGTATCTATTATTGATGGTATGGTGAATGTATCAGACAAAGTTGAGTCTAATACTAACGATTTTTGTGCTGTTGCCTCTTGAGAGCTCTTTTCTGCAATTAAAGTATTACTTGAAATATCTGATGTATTCTTTCCTTGAGACACATCATCTGAGGCCGGGATAGGTAGACCTCTACAAGCTGCTATTAGTTGGTTTTCGGTCCATGCATCAGATATTTCATTTAGACCCCTCCAGAAAGGCGCCATTTTCCTTTCAATCTGTACATATCAGTTTCAATTTGATTCAAGCACATTTAAATACATACGATTAATTTACGCACGATAACCTTGTTGAAATCTTCTATTCCTGTATAGATTCCCATAGTCACCAGATAGCCTCCGTCAACATTTTCTTCCCGAAGACTTTTTTCTCTCTCCACTATCCTTATTTGTCTTTCCTTCTCAAGTTTCTTGGCTTCTCTCTCTTGTTTCGATTCACGACGCTCAGAACCTGCACTGTTAGAGCCAAGGCTCACCCCTATGGTCATAGTTTCATTTCTACTTCCTCGTTCAGAGCGTGATGTGTGAGACCGATCTCTATCTCGGTCGTCATGGTTTGCTGATTGGCTTTTTGCGCCTGTAATCTCATGATTTCTGGGCGTGAAGGGTATTTCCGATCCTCGAGATTCCTTGGTGTTCGTATTTCCCATTTTGCGAGCTTGATATTCTGAGCACTCAAGTCAGCTGAACATTGAGATTTATAGAAAATCACGGTACCTTGGAGGAAATAAGCTGGGAGGTTTTGCGAAAATCGAGAGCCCTAAGTCGTAGACCATGTGGACCCTGTCATTTGCTGCGTCTATGTTGTTACTCACACGCGTAACAACGAGTATTAGTTTGGATTTCTAGAAATGTGATGGATTGAAGACGTTTTGATAGATGAAGTGAAGTGAAAATGGACTATAGCAACATATTGCGAGGCGCATGATCATGCGACAAGTTGACCAGATTTTGGTACCAAGGGTCAATTGAGCCCTGATTAAAAGACTTTTTATTAAGAAGATGAGTTGAGTGTGTGGTGAGTATCTGGTATGGTAGAGGAACGTTATTGGAACTAGTTGGCAGGTCTGCATCCGATAGTCGAAGTTAGCAAGATATGTCTGTGCAATATGTCACAAGATGCAAGGCAGCAATATGACAGTGCAAAAATTACAAAACAAACATGAGGCACTTCATCTGGTTTAACAGGAATTCTCCTTCACTTTCAACTCGTCTTCCTATTTGACGCACCGACCGAAACATAAGTCATCCATGAAGTATTCAACTCAATTGACGTACTGCAAATCTGCAGACAGATAGTTAGACGTGCTTGAAAGATTACTACATTCATATGATCATGTTAAACCAAGGTACCCTTTAATTCTGTCGTTTTCGCTCTGTATTTCTATTGGCCACTGATATATTTCTATTTCTATTTTATTTTATTTCACCCGCTTAAGATAAGTCTATCAAATTATCATCCACAACACAACAAATCATATCCATCTTACAGAATCAAGATCGAAAATATTATCAGATGTATTTCTACAGTCGTAATAAATATGCTATTGATTGATTTAAAAATTAAAAACTTAAGTATTTTAATGAAGAATTAAATCTGAGTTTGTAGCTTGTAATTTAAATGAAAATTTAATACCCTTTGCTTAATATAATTGTCAGCCGGGTTACAGCAGGTATCACAATAAGGATAGTTATGATTTATGGATCGTGCAAAGTTTAATATTTGAAAAAAGCTAGTTCGATTTCTTATAGACCTTTGCGACTCTTGAATGGATAACTACCAACCTAATCAGATGGATGTCATGTACAAGCAAGGCACAAGCCTAATACGACCATATTTTCATGTGAAATTTACAAGTGCTTCTTTCTCTATTTCTTAAATAGGGAACCCTACCAGCTTGATTATTTGCTACTTCATAATATTACTAACCAAAGAGTTGCAACTTCATTGAGTATTGAGTATTGATTGCTATTCGTATCAGGCTTGTGCCATACACCCAATAGGCGTGACACGGGTATGTGATCTATACAGACTCACTACTACCTATGTGCATGGCTTTACTTGCCAAAGAAGCCATATGAAATAAATTTAAGAAAGCAATACAGTGTGTCCAAACAAGAGCGCCCTACGCCCTATCCTATTCTTCCCGGCAATTGACTACAGTTGCAACTTCATAATAGTATGAGTGTTGAGTTTATCTCACTAGACTCGTTCCTAGCCACGGTGCCAAAAATAAAGTATACCACTAGCTTCTTGCTTGACGTGGCATAAATTATGACTGACAAGCGGCTTATAATTTTGTACATTGAAAACATGACCCGGTTTAACAGAGTACTCCAGCCAAACCAACAAGGGGAGGACGCAGGCTGAACACCTGTCAGTGGTGTCCTCTACGAACCTGGGAGTGAAATATTCTCTCAGAGCCAAGTTCAGTCAAATCTCGCAATACCGAACAAGTTGGCCCACGAGGCAATGATTCAAAATACTCCACCATATCAATCTTTCTCTCCCAACGAAATCGATTCCTACCTAAGCCTCATCAAGTCTACAAATACGACCTAGTACGTCCTAATTCCAATTATCACACCCATTGTCGACTTTCTCTGGCCTCAGCTGGTCGCCAGATACACGCCCACGCCGAAATTTATACCCGGCAGAGGAAGCAAAGCTTGGCGCACAAATCTGGGAGATAGTTGTTTGGAATGGGCGTGAGTAGGATCAGGACAAACTGATAAGATGATGCAGAGGATGGATACATTCTCAACAGGCGTGAAATTTCGAATATTGGTAAAGAGTTTTACAAATTGAACTTGTTGTGCGTGCCAAGACTTTGGTGACGAGAGTGCAGGCGACACTATTAACACCGCCATGGTTTGATGTGCGGTGGTACAACGTCTTGGCCGGTCTCCCAAGTGGAGTTTGGATAGCTTGGACATATTCCACTCGAGACAGAAGATCGCTAGTGTAAAAGGACGAGAATCACGGACGCTGCACGCAAAGGTTATCACAAAATAATCTATATTTCCTATGGAGAGCACACTTCAGGGGGACAGAGCCAATGTAATGGGTGTGCTGATGACCACCTTACATAAGCACCTACTAAGCGTATAACCTGGTGCAATTGCCAGATCCATTTGCCACATGCCACTTACATGCAAGGCTGGGCCCGTAAGTCAGCCCAGCCAACTAACAACGGGTAAAACTCGTAACAGCTGGTTCGAATCCGGCAAAACACAACTACATTTCTCGCGCCGCTGAGATACATGTATGACGAAGGTATGCTTGGATAATCAAAGGTTTTAAAATTCCCTTTGGTGGGTTACTAACGGAGGAGGGTCGACTGTTTGTGTAAGCGAACATACCTCATAGTGGTATTTGCAAATGTAATCCAGAGTATGAGTGTCTATAACGCCAAAAGAGTCATCCAACATGTATACATAGCACCGGTCATGTGTCATAGCTCAATAGCTGAATACACATTTAATGATTTAAAAAAAAAATACAAAAATCGTCATTTTTCGTTGGCTGGAAAGGGGAGATAATAACGGGCAAAGGGGTCTTCTAAGTGTATGATCAAATGAGGACTTGTCAGATGTAGTACTGTTCAGAAAGGGAGATACTAGAAGAAGGGGCTTGTCCCTCACTGTCCATGAGAGCAAAGCATAAAGTTAAACAGTTGGAACTCTAAATATGTAGCTAGTATCTTATTTGTAGATTCTAGTGTCGAATAGTAGGACACAAGTTTTATTTGGATGTGCATTAAACAAGGATGCTGGAGTTTGGGTGGCAATAATGATTATGAAGATGTAATGACAAATGGGTAATAATTAGTAATAGCTGTGTAAGCATATATCATGTGACGAGTGTTCAAGGTCATTAAGGCCCTGGCGCTCCGTCCCAAAAGTGAGGATAGATACGAATGAATGAAACAATTGTTATTGAGTTACCTCAAACAAAGAATCCATAGGAAATATTCCGACATCTAGGAATCCTCAATAGTCATTGACTCAGTTAGGATTATAATACAAATCTAATCTAATATAATCTAATACTAGAAGAAACATATCCTTGGCCTATAATCAGCGAGCATCTGCATCTCCTACATGATAATAGACACAGAAAGGACAATATTTTGAATTAACAATAAGAAATAAATTCTTGGCGCATATAAGGCCTACTTCGAGAAACTGCTTGCTAAAAATCAAAATTCCACTCCAGTCCACATAGTATCTACCGTCTCTATCAACTTATCAGCTCGTCCTGATCCTACTCATGCCCATCCCAAACAACTGTCTCCCAGATTTGTGCGCCAAGCTTTGCTTTCTCTGCCGGGTATAAATATCGGCGTGGGCGTGTATCTGGCGACCAGCTGAGGCCAGAGAAAGTCGACAATGGGTGTGATCATTGGGATTAGGATGTACTAGGTCGTACATGTAAACTTGATGAGGTTTAGGTAGGAATCGATTTCGTTGGGAGAGAAAGATTGATATGGTGGAGTATTTTGAATCATTGCCTCGAGGGCCAACTTGTTCGGTATTGCGAGATTTGACTGAACTTGGCTTCGAGTAGTTATTTCACTCCCAGGTTCGAAGAAGACACTGCGTATAGATGCTCATTCTTTACCACCCAAAAAATTGTGAATGAAAGTATGTGTTTAATGTACTACTTGAGTCATAGAATAACTAACAAACTGGGCTCCTCTCTGACCTAGGCCACATCTTGTACAGTGCTCCTATCCTCTTTTGTTACTTGAAAGATCATTGATATATTTCCCTTGATGAATAGCTATTCAGCCAAGTGTTTACCCGTGGAATTCAGCCACCATTTTCACGGAACCTTCTGCCTAAAAAAAATAAAAATGGTAGCAATGGAAACTGCGGGCGCCGGAAAAAGTCTCAAAAATCCTGCAGCCCCAGCCAGGCGAGGCCTAGATACCGGGACCACATGAGGTGCGCATATTCATCTATATTTCTCTTTATGTAACTGTCGAGGCTATTGGAATATGATTCCTCTGGACGGGTAATACAGTAGTACTGTTACTGGAATATTTGGAAGTAGATTTGATAAAGTATAGGGTTAAATCATTGCGTGTGTCTTCGTCTCTACGTCTACGCGCTTAATAGAAGTATCGCGACCTCGCACCCTCTAATTTATCGCTCCTAGTCTCATCCACAAGCTAATATGAGACTACTAATACAGGGTATATAAAATCAACAGACGCCTTACCCTTTTTAACTCCTAGGCAACCAATAACCACAACCCTAACTCCATTATGTTAAATTGTAGGGATGAATATGTTTGACCAACCCTTCTTATAATTTAACAGAGGCCATCTTGATCTAATCCACCATCTCCGTATCGGGTGCTGGGTACGCTCCGGAAACTCATCGAATGGCTTTTCTTCCATGATCAAGGGTAGATGATGAGAAGGGCTTGGACCCTACCACCTGATTTGATCGTGGCTAGCTTCATGATGTGACGGAAACCGAGTTGGTGATGAATAAATCGATTTATTAAACTATATGAGGAGAAAAGCTAACTCTAGCTACTCTTAAGAAAGATACGTGGGACACGGTATTACGTTGTAAATGTTGACTAGATAGCCGTAATGCTGCATATGAAGTCTATGTACTGATAGTCAGGTCATGTGACCTGAATAGCTTAGTTTACATGAGTAGGTGAAATAGTTCCCCTTGACAGCTACTACTAACAGGTATTTATAGGAGTTAATCCTCCTCGTGAATCTACAGACTAGTGACTTGTCCTTAGGCACAATACTTCTTACCCAGCCACGTATTTCCAGGTGTCACTAAGTTGTAATAACGCCTCAGCCTCCTGAGTAGTAGTCCCGTTTCGTTCAGCTTCATCTCCCCCTCATACAGCCTCATGGTAAGGATTCTTAGTAACAGGCTTAGGTATCCACCTAAGCTCAAACAACGGTCAAACCGTAACACATGATAATCATGATAGGGGAACGTACTTAGGGATGAAGACGATACAGACCGCGAAAGCGATTGGGAATCCTCATGGAAGTGAGGACGGTGTTACTCATTTTCGGCTCTACGGACTCTTCAGTGAGAGCTGGAGGTTCGTAGGAGACACCTCTGATAGGTGTGAGGAATAGTCACCGGTTGAATAAATGAATATGTTAGGCAATGCTATACTAATGTGAATCTTACTCAGAGTTGTTTGAATTGATTGTCATTCCTGAGGAAGCTATCTTAGTTCTTAAATACATCTTTAGAATATTCTAATAATTTACTCCCAAAATTCAGATATAGCTCAATAATTACAATTATTTATGCAAACAGCTCGTATTTCTCTCCTTTACATGGTTCTGAAATTGGTCGTGTTTGTTACATTAATAGCAAATTACAAGTGGAAAGTATAACCAAACATAGTAAAATTAATGCGGTTTAATAGGAGATTAAGTGACTCGATTGTAATGAAAAAATACAAAATACAAATGCTAGCGGAATTTCGTATAGGTAGGTGAGACTCTATCTAATAACATATGCATGACTCGAATATAGCCAGTGACGCTTTAATCTTGTATTTCAATTGCATACAGATTAACAATCTTTAACAAAGGTGATTCTTTATTTAGATGTTATGATATTTTATTCGACAGATTAACTAGATACTATAACTGTATCTAACGGGGCAGTTGTGCTCCTTCCATATGTTTCTCATCATAGGTTAATAGTGTTAGAAATCAAGGTTCTTGCCATCATGCCTTGTTTATTTCTTATGTAATTCCTGACAGAGTCCAATACCAAGCTGTAGCTCTCTAGTTTATCTAATCAAAAGATAAGAAGGTTAGGTTGCGAGATGTCATACATGATGTAATCATTCTGGTATTGCATGTAATGTAATTGTTCTGATATCATTTGTTATCGACAAGTCTATCTGGTCAGGTATAGCTCTGGTGTCGATGGTCCACTGAAAATTATATGAGTAGTTAATAGTTAAGATTAGAAATCAATGAATTAAAATGCTATAATCTGTTAGAATGCGGAATAATTGGGGCTATCAAGTGGGTCTCGTTGCTGGTATACGCGGGACTGCAAATTCTGTACTTGGTTTCACTTCGGTAGTTACTTGAATCAATGCACTCTACAACCTCAGTGACTGAGCGGTCATTATTTCCATACTTTAATCCTTACTTTCCATAACAAATAACACTTCGGTCAAGATCGTTCGCTCTCGATACCTATTCTGAACGCTATTTCAGCTGTAGACGATACCACAAACTATATATTTGCGCTTTGGGCCGGGATACTAGAGAATATAACTGCAATAGACTTTCGCGCATGACTTGTGAGATTCTGTTTACAGCTTGATTTGCCACTTTTATTGATTGATTGATCAGTTACAACCTTTAGGACTTTTTGTAATTATTGATAGCCTTGATATTTTTTTTTTAAATCATTTATGTGTATTCAGCTATCTAGCTATGACACATGACCGGTGCTATGTATACATATTGGATGACTCTTTTGGCGTTAGAGACACTCATACTCTGGATTTCATTTGCAAATACCACTATGAGGTTTGTTCGCTTACACAAACAGTCGACCCTCCTCTGTAAGTACCCACCAAAGAGAATATAAAAACCTTTGATTATCCAAGCATGCCTTCATCATCCGTGCATACCAGCGCCGCGAGAAATGTGGTTGTGTTTTGCCGGATTTGAACCAGCGATCTACTGTCTCAAGTGGGATATATGTCCAAGCTATCCAGACTCTACTTGGCAGACCGGCCAAGATGATGTACCACCGCATCATCCAACCATGGCAGTTTTTATAGTGTCGCCTGCACTCTTGCAGCCGAAGACTTGGCACGCACAAAGCTCAATTTGTAAAAACTCCTTTCCAAAATTCAAAATTCCACGCCCGTCGAGACTCTATCCAATCCTCTGCATCATCTTATTAACTTGTCCTGATCCCTCTCACATCCATCCCAAGGAATTGTCTTCCAGATTTGTGCGCCACGCTTTGCTTCCTCCGTCGGGTGTAAATATCGGCGTGGGCGTGTATCTGGCGACCAGCTAAGGCCAGAGAAAGTCGACAAGAGGTGTGGTCATTGGGATTAGGATGTACTAGGTCGTACATGTAAACTTGATGAGGTTTAGGTAGGAATCGATTTCGTTGGGAGAGAAAGATTGATATGGTGGAGTATTTTGAATCATTGCCTCGAGGGCCAACTTGTTCGGTATTGCGAGATTTGACTGAACTTGGCTCTGGGAGAATATTTCACTCCTAGGATCGTAGAGGACACCGCGTACAGGTGTTCAGTCTTGCCCTCCGATAGCCTTGATAGCTTCGTTCATTTCCTCTGTGAGCAATTTATCGTCTCGTTTTGCGTCGACAAAGATTGTCAGCCTCATCTTCTTAAAAAATTCTTCGGATTCCAAGGTTTATGTTTCCTTGTTTTATCTACACCGGCTCCTGTTTCTGTTCCAACATATTTTCGCGCGGCAAGTTCATAGATAAGCGATAAGTGAGTCAAGAGTGAAAAACATAGCTGTGATATCATATTGATATTCAAGGCTGCCAAAAGCACCATGCAGCTTTCTGTAAATATTTGTATATTCTCTAAATATATTGTTAACAAACCGTATTAACTAGTAACAAGAACTAATAGCTAGATCTTTTATATCATAGGTTACTCATTTGAAGGATTAAATTTCAATTAGTCCTAGTACCAGCTCAATATTACTGGAAATTAAAGTCATACACCAACCTTGTCGAGTCTAAGAAGTTTAAAAATTGACTTTTACCCCCTCCTTTTCAAGTAAAAATATTCATCGATTAGCGATAAGATTGGTAAATTTTTGATATGTAGGACTGTTCAACTCTTAAAAATCCTTTACATTGTTAATAGTCTGGGAGAGATGTATTGATCGGAAACATGAATGATTTTAGCAGCCCATATATGAGAGTTAGATTCTTTTTTTGTTTTTAATTTGAGGTTGTGCCAGCTCACAACGTGGACCTTAGATCTCGTGTTGGCTAACTCAGTCTCCATGAACTACACGACGTGCCAACGCATTTTAGTAAGTCCGACGTATAGTAAATGGCCTGAGGCCTAGCAGCCATGCACCCCGAACAATCGAAAGACATAAAAATTGCTCTGCCGTTGAGACTTTTGTTTATCAGTAAATTAAAAAACAAGTTGGTCTGTATTTAGTGAAAAATTATCTGTCACTTAGACCAATAGTTTATCCGTATGAGCTCTAACAAATACAGATCAAGGGTTAAAAGGTTGAAGAGCTAGCTATTGTCGTCATTGTATTGGTTCGAAAAAGCAGCTAACATGAAGCCATTTACTTAAAGCTGTAGCTCCTTCGAGAGAGCCTAGATTCCAGGCAACTCCCGACATTAAATGTTTAGTTCTGTCGCGAAGGCGGGGCTGACTTCGGCCGAGTCAACAAAAGATAAGTTATCGGGCAACTTTTTATGCCCGCAAGCGCAGGATAGAATAGCGTCCAAATAGTTAAAGAGGCGGTGGTATTCAGCAAATTCACTGCCACCTGCACAGGTTGCAAGAAGATGCCGAAATCCGTAACTTATGGGGTGGATTGTTTGTTTGTTTGTTTGTTTGTTTATTATTTAACGTCTAACTAATGATTATAATACACTAGTCCCGGACTGGAAAAGGACGCCAGAGCTTACTGCTCTAGAACCGGGGGCACCCATCTTCTCCAAACAAAAAAGAAGGGACCCGAGATGAAATACGGTGTCAGATGACTTATTACGTCACGCTGTCTACAGAAGTTTATGCCACCTAGAGGGAATGAGAGCCAGTCATAGTGGGAAGAATATCCTCCCAATATGCTTAATTAAATTAGAGGAAAGGAAAGGGAAGAAAGGAAAATTTAGCACATGGGCATTCTTTTATTTTAATTTTCTTTGAACTGCTGTTAAGCAACATTTGTCGATGTCACGGGAGGAATCCGGGGACAAATTTTAGTGAAGAACTGTGATTTTTCAAGCCATTGTGCAAGTTTTGAAGCTCCTGTGGGGGTCCCAAGAAAGAACTTCCATTTGTCTGAACAGCCCCTCGGTGGTTTGAGGGGGCTTGATGTGATTAGTCTACAGTTTAGGAAATGTGCAGGGGACTTGAGTTTGTTGCAGCTGCAGGTATTGTGGGCGGGGTTGTGGTTGAAGCGATTATGATAGGCTGCAAAATCTCCATGTCCGGAGCGAGCAGCGTATATATGGGCAGTATGATGTCGAGGTAGTGATAGCTCTGCGGGGCAGCCCACAGGATACTCGATTTCCAAGTCTTGATATGACTGAGGGGCATGCTTTGCCCAATACTCTTTGTGAGCTTTTATAGATATGTCCTTGACCCAAACTTTTGCCGAGGCAATTGTGAGTGGAGATGGGGACGGATACGGCATGGACAAAGCATCTTTCGCTGCTTTGTCTGCTAGAACGTTGCCTAAGTGTCCTGAGTGGCTTGGGATCCAATGAACCCGAACTTCGCCTGGGATAGTATGGGGGAGACGCGTGCGGCCTGGCCATTCTTGTGCTTTGAACGCGAATTTTTTGAATACGTCTTGGGAAGAGCAGATCGGAGTAGTTAGAAGCTGTCGGGCTACATCTAGGTTATCGAGTAGGACCCATAAGTTGTTTGCAAAGCGTGTAGAGGTAAGATCTAATGCTGTCTCTACAGCACTTAAAGCTGCTGCAGCTTCTGCATCAAATATCTCTAGTGAAGGGCTTAGAGGTATTCTTTTCTGGCAGATCATGTGGCCTGCTTGGAAGATTACAAAACCACCTCCGACGCAAGGTCCCGAAGCTGATTCTAGGCGGCTGCCATCGGAATATATAACTAAGTCATGTGAGGGGATCCCCTCAGGAAGTTGATGTGAGGCAGCAGTGACCCGTCTAGTCCTTGAGAACCAACTCTCCTTTGCTAACCAAGGGGGGTTGACCAGAGGGTCCAGATACTCTGTAGGCGGGAAGCTTAGGGCCCACCTGGAAAGGCGTGAGACACGTCTCTGTTGGCTAAGGATCCAAATGTTCCGGCGGCGAAGAGGGTGCCGTGGATCGAGGCGTTGTATACGGAGGGATGCTTGACGAAGTTTTGAGTCCAGCGCGATTTCTGGAGGGGAAAGACCTGCTTCTCTATATAGCGCGCTAGCTGGTGTTGTTCGGTAGACTGGAAGAATTGCTCTTGCACTAGTTCTAACAACCTTTTGGAGGAGGGAGAGATGTCCCTTCGCTAAGTTTGAGACGGTCCGAGTTGGGGAGATAGCGCGTGTCAGGCCTGGCCACCATGTTTCAGCTCCATAATAGGCGATAGGTAGTACGCAAGCGGTGACTGCTTGGCGTAGGAGTTTAGGGGGGGCTCCACTTAGTGTGTTACCAAGGCTGCGGAGCGCGTTTGCCACCACTAGAGCTTTATTTGCAAGGATGCGGACGTGCCATTTAAAAGAAAGTGTTTTGTCAAAATATACTCCCAGCCATCTGGTGTATGGGCGATTTGTTTTCTCAGATACGGAGAAATTGCCGTGCTTGACCGACGGGGTGTTGCCCGGATTCTTATCAGCTCGTTTACGTGAAAAATGCTGAAGCTCTGCCTTAGCTGGGTCGAAAGTGATGCCCTCCTTTATCCCCCATTCTAAAGCTTCTTTCAGTGCCATTTTTAAAGAGATGCAATTGTCGTGAAGTGATTTTTGGGTCTCAAGAATTGCGACATCGTCAGCATACCCAAACCTCCTAGAGACGTTTCCCAGCTTGAACAGAGGGGATATATAGAGCATGAAAAGGATAGGTGAGGCAGGGGAGCCTTGTGGGAGACCACAGTTGATTGACTGGAGAGGACCTAGCTCGCCATCGAGACGGATTTGTACTGAACGGTTAGTAGCGAAAGAGGCTACCCAGTTGACAAGGAACTCTGGCCAGCCTTGCTCCCGCATACGCCGGACAAGCCGGCCTGGGAGCACAGCATCAAAGGCTCCTTTCACGTCGAGTGTCAGCATGCTAGCCGTGCGCCCCTCGCTCAAAGCTCTTTCGACATCATGTGTAAGACAGGTGGTGAGATCGACGGCTGACCTTCCTGGGAGAGCACCAAACTGCTGGGTGGTGAGTATCGTATTTCGGGTCGCAATCCAAGCTATACGTCTGGCTATCAGCCGCTCCAACACCTTCCCAAGTGCGGAGAGAAGTGCTATCGGGCGGTATGAGCGAGGAGAAGATAGGTCTGCCTTGTTTGGCTTCTGAAGCATGATTAAAACAGCTTGTCGGAAGCAGACAGGATGGTGACCGAGAGTGAGACAGCTTTTGAAGAGTGAGAAAATATGTTCTCCGATGAGGGGCCAAGCTATACGCAATATGGCAGTCGGGATCTCGTCAACCCCAGGGGCTGTATTTCCTGCTCTAAGAATCGAATCCTGAACTTCGTCCTGGCAGAGTGGTGGGAACGAAATGGAGCGTTTTGCAACTGTCGGGGTATCCAAAGGGATATCATCCACTACGGTCAGGTTTGTGAGTAAATTACCGAGTAGAATTTCCCTTTTTTCTGGCAACGATGTTGCAGGAGGACGGTCTGGAGACCTAGGATCTTTAAGGGGAGTGGATCGGAAGTTACCCGTGGACTTATGCCATTTTGTCAGAGCGAAGATGTCCTTGCCCGTACTGGCTGCGGCAATCTTGTTAGTGAAGTATGCCTTCTTTGCCCTTGCAATCGTGCCCCGATACTCCTTTCTCTCTCTGGCAACACCTTCCTCTGTTATGGGTCCGCAACGGACATTCTTGTATCTTTGGCGAGCCTGTTTGCATGATATATCCCACCATGGGTTCCCTTTACCATGGCCTAGTGAGCGGCGGGCTGCGCCCGTGTATGCTGTACGAATAGCTTCTGTTAACTCTATAGCACACCTGTCCAGCGCCTCCCTGGTGGAAGCTAGTGGAATTGGACTAATACCATCAATATTGATGGATAGGAGACGGAGGAAAAGATCCTTATCCAACGTGTCGAATCTGAGCCTGCGGAGGGGTTCAGTATAGCCTTCCCAATCTACTAAAGTGAGTATTGTGGCATGGTCTGACGTCGTGTCCAGGTGTGGAGCGAGGGTGCACTTTGTCTTTTGAACTAGAGGGCTGGATCCGAGAACTAAATCGAGTACATTGCCTCGGTCATGCGTTGCCATATCTGCAGGTGATAGAAGAGAGAGACTATTTTTATCTGCCCATTCTGTGAATTTTTCGGCGCCGGGGGAGGGGCTGCGGGTCCATGATGGCTGCCATCTGGCGTGGTGTAGGTTGAAATCTCCAGAGATAAGCAGATTGCCTTCGAATGGGAGGGTGAGAGAGTAAAGAGAATCGAGAACGCTATTGCTGGTGGGTCCTGCAGGAGCGTTGTAGACGTTGATAATGCTTATGGACTTACCAGAGGACGAGATAATTTTAAGAAGAAGCATATCGCCTGAGAATGCCGTATAACCCTGTTCTGAACAGAGACAGGCATTTTTCCGCACATAGGACATCACCCTGGGTCGTGAAGATGTCCAGTCGTCGATAGGTGAGAAGGACTCAAAGGATGGGTGGCGTTTGGTGATCCGCCTGGCGCGGTCGCTGTAAATGTACGGTTCTTGTATTAGGACAATATCAGCGGAGGCTAGGCTGGCTTCGTTGAGAGCTAACTCGTGCGCTTGGGCTCCGCGGCCGACATTTGCAGATACTATTTTTAATGGGCAGTTGTTATGTTTGCGGCGCCGTAAAGGGGTCATTACGATTGCGCTTGGTCGTTGCTCTGATCCCCTGTGAGTAGAACTTCGTAGGGGTTGATGGATTTTACTGAAACCGGCTGGGTTTGGCCTATTTCAGCTGGAGTTGCGGCCGTAGTACGCGGGGTTTTGGGGCTGGCCGTAGCCTTGATACAGCCAGCTTCTGCTTGTTTCCGTAGGCGAGCGTCTGCGTTAATCTGGCGGATAGCAGTTACTTGATTCTTGGTCTTTGGAGGACCGGAGGGCTTAGGCCGGAGGTGACAGCTGACATCGTCCGCGGGATGGGGCCCATGACAGTGGATACATCTGTTGGGACATATATGTTGGCCCGTAGCGCCGCATTGATTGGCATGGTCTTTTTCGGAGTGTCTGGAGGATCCGCAAAGGCGGCATCTGAGGTCGGAGGCACATGTGCGTGTATTGTGCCAGAGCCAGCACCGGGTGCACTGGACAGCCATCTGACGCTTGGGCAAAATTCTTGTCTGCGTGCGGTAGCCAAGGAGGAAGAGGGTTCGTGGCAGGCGCTGATGTGATTCTGGGAAACGCACGATCCATGTCGTCGATGAGGACGTTGGATTAGCATCATTGTCGCGAGAAGCCGCAATAGCTACAGGTACCGCTCCAGCTGCCGTGGCTAGGGCATCCTTCAACGCCTCAGCTGTGACGGGCTTAAGGCAGTACTTCCATTCTTCGTTGATGTGTTCCAGGGCTCCATATGTCCGGGGAACATTTTTTATGCGGTAGGAAGTCCATGGTGTTGCTTTCTCAACTGGTGCGTCCCCGAAGAAACTAACGGACTTTATCTTTTCCATGAGATTTTCTGAGTCTCCGTCTTTGGGGCAGAGAGCGAAACCAGTCTTTGTTGACTGCACATTTGTAAGAATCTGACCCTCATTGCCAAGCTTAGCTTTCAGGTGGGATTGTATCGCGTATGCTGAGTGATCTCGGAGTGTATTACCTTCCGGGATACGGACAAATAAACGATCATCAGTGCGGGTGGGCTTGAGCTGAAGCCGCGCTTTAGCGGGTGTTTGGAGGGTTGGAGTGTGGCGACCGGCGAATTGCTTATTGGACGCCCTTGAAGCTGCATTTGCGTAGGTCTGCGCAGTTTTTGGGGCATTGCGGTTGGACGTGGCGGCGTCGATGGTGACGGTCACTGGCTTATCACAGAGGTAAGCATCGAAATGCCGTGCTGCGACTTTAGCTAAATCATTGCAAAGGCTTTTGAATGCTTCAGCTTGCTTGGCGGGTAGTGTAGCGTAGTTGGGTGCGCGGCTATGCTTGTCGATTAGTGCAGAAATACCTCCAAAAAGGGTCTCTGCTTCTTTTGCTCGGGCTGTCAAAGAGTTTACGCTCTTGGTCAGAGTGTCTTGCATTGGGCCCGCGGGAGCTGGCTCTGAAAATGGGTCGTCTATGGGGTCGTCGTATTCGATTTGATCGTCGTAATTAATTGGATCGATCTCCATGTCAAGCTGCTGGCTGCTCCCGGGTGTGTCCCAATCGCTAAGAGCTGGATTATAGAAGGGAATGGCTTCTACCGCCTGAGATTGGGTAAGACCCTCCATAGTCGGGAGGGCTGCTCTCGCGCGCGCTGAGCGCGGGATGCGGCTTGATTCTGGTGTCGGTTTGGCTACAGTTGTCGGTTTTTGACGCGACTTGTGAAGGGTGGTAAGGGGGGGTTTGATGTTTTTGTGGTTGTTTCTGATCGGAGCCAGAACGGCAGGGTCTTTACAGTACAATCTACAAATGAGAATATGCTGTGAGATGACTGTCGTTCGTTGATGTGATCCTGTATGGGGTGGATTGGGAACAGGCTACGAGGCCCTAAAGCCGTTGATTACACGTGACTAATGGCTGTAAATTATTAGGCTAACATCTGACGATATAACAGCCCACGGATAAGATATTACAGTACACAATAAGCTGTAAATTCGTCGCCATGGAAGCTGAGATACAGTCAATCTTACCTAATATTGATCCGATAGTATCGGAGTATTCAGTGGGATATCTCAACCATGCTTCTAATGCATCTACATCGGACTTGGATTCAACCAGCCCATCTCAGCTAGAAAATGCAGCGGCATCAATCACTGAACTCTTAATTTCTGCATCTGGAAAATTCGATTCTGAAAATGGAGAAAAAATCAGTCAATTAGTTCAGAAATGGATAAGACAGTTCAGTATTTCTGCGGCAAATGATATGCAGAAGCCAGTCTCAGCTGCTGTCAAGCGACTTGATCAGGCAATCCAAGTCGGAGCACAACGAAACATGTCATATACATTAGGGATATCTACGGGGATGGTTGATCTAGAATCTGCTGGTTCTAGAAAGCTTGAATCAAAAGTAGATCGAAAGAAACTTGAAAAGGCAGAGCGGAAGATCGCGGCTAAGCAGAATAAGAAGATGTTCAAAACTGTAGAGTATGAAGCGTCTCGCCTCATCAACCAGCCTGATGATGCTGAGTCATACGAGGAATTTTATATGACCGTTAATCCTTTGCAGCTAGGATCGAATTCTCAGGGCCAGCAAAAGAGCAAAGATATAAAATTGGATGGAATTGACGTTAACATTGGCGCATTACGGATCCTAACTGATACTAATTTAACTTTAGCATATGGTCGAAGGTATGGTCTTGTAGGCCAAAACGGTATTGGTAAATCGACTCTATTACGTGCATTAGCTCGAAGAGAACTAGCTATACCTACACACATATCTATTCTCCACGTGGAACAAGAGGTCTATAATTACATAAGTTTTTCATTCCAAACTTTTGCTAATAATATGGATAGATAAGGGGAGATGATACCCCTGCAATACAAGCTGTACTTGATGCGGATGTGTGGCGAAAGCATTTACTTGCAGAGCAAGCCGTACGTACATACTTTTCCTCTTTGATACTATGGAATACTTATTCAGTTACCTAACAAATCTATCAGAAAATTCTTAAGCAGCTTGCTGATCTAGAGTTGCAACGCTCTTCCATGGCTGACAGCTCACTGGATGCCGAGAAGCTTGACGTAGAACGCGAAGCTTTGGACCAAACCCTAGGTGACGTACAAACAAAGCTCGCAGAAATGGAGTCCGACAAAGCAGAATCACGAGCAGCATCGATTCTAGCTGGTCTTGGCTTCTCTCCAGAGCGTCAAAAATTTGCAACAAAAACCTTTTCTGGAGGATGGCGAATGCGCTTAGCTTTAGCCAGAGCCTTATTTTGCGAACCTGATCTTTTACTTCTCGATGAACCTTCCAACATGTTGGATGTTCCTTCCATTACTTTCCTAGCTAATTACTTGCAAACTTATCCCAGCACAGTTCTTATCGTCTCGCACGACCGCGCATTTCTGAATGAAATTGCGACAGATATTATTCACCAACACTCCGAACGCCTTGACTACTACAAGGGGGCTAACTTTGAGTCTTTTTACGCTACTAGGGAAGAACGTAGAAAAACTGCTCAAAGAGAATATGACAATCAAATGCAACAACGGGCTCACTTGCAGGCGTTCATTGATAAGTTTCGATACAATGCCGCTAAATCATCCGAAGCTCAATCAAGAATCAAGAAGCTTGAAAAAATGCCAGTTCTCGAAACACCTGAAAGTGTTTACACTGTCCACTTTAAATTTCCAGAGGTTGAAAAACTCTCCCCACCCATTGTTCAAATGTCAAATGTTTGCTTTGGTTACACAGCAGACAAGCCTCTTCTTAAGAATGTTGATCTTGATGTTCAGCTCGATTCACGAATTGGTATTGTCGGACCTAATGGTGCTGGTAAGACTACTGTCCTCAAGCTGCTAATTGGAAAACTCTCACCCACCGCGGGTATGATCTCGCAAAATCCTCGACTGAGGATTGGATATTTTGCTCAGCATCATGTTGATGCACTTGACTTAACAACAAGTGCTGTAGGATTCATGGCCAAGAATTATCCGGGAAGACAGGACGAAGATTATCGTCGTCACTTAGGTGCATTTGGCATTACAGGTATGACTGGGCTCCAAAAGATGGAACTCTTATCTGGAGGACAGAAATCTCGCGTTGCATTTGCTTGCTTATCCCTCCAAAATCCGCACATCTTAGTTCTCGACGAACCGTCAAACCACCTAGATATTGAAGCCATGGATGCTTTAAGTACGGCCCTTCGGCAGTTCCAGGGTGGAGTTTTGATGGTGAGTCACGATGTTACCATGTTGCAAACAGTTTGCACTAGTCTTTGGATATGTGATCATGGTACCGTCGAAAAATTCCCAGGAGATGTTCAAGCATACAAGAAAAGAATCTCTGCACAAGCAGATTCAAGTGGTGTAGTTCAAGCACATTAAAAGAAAATATAATAGCTTTATAAATGGAGGATTTGAATTCTATTCGTATCAATCTTATACCCTGTACCCAGGAGGCATGATACGGGTCCATGGCCCCGAAGAACCCAGTTAATTCTTTGTTAACAACCCTCATTAGGTTAGAGAAACAAATTAAAATTAGTTTTCTCGGCCGAGGTGCCCAGTGTCGTATCTGCCTCTACTTAACACCCAAAAAACAAAGTAAATTTTTATGAAGTAAGAAAAGCCCCAATGGTGAACCCTACCATGTTTTAGAATACCCGCTTGATTGTGGCATTTGTTATCAATAAATGCAGAAAATATTGCCACTCCTCCTCTTCAATCATCACCATAATCCGTGCTGGAAATTACTGCCTGTATTTCTAGCGTTACAAAGCAGGCCAGAACTCTGCAAAATGCCAGAGTTTTTTTCCCGACAGCAAAGGTAACTCATGTTCTCGTTGTCGTGGCTAGTTTTTGCCGCTACCTTTCTACATTGAACACTTGGGCTAGATTTCATAGAAGTTTCGATTTCGATTAAATCTATCATATACTTAGTTAAAGCTGGCGAATTAAATCACCTAACTGAAAGCATAAGCTTCACCGAAATCCTCGACAATCTGACACGCCCTAAAGAACCAAGAATCTACAAAGAGCTAAAAAATGTGCACGCCACGGAAGGAAGGAACCTACATCTATGATTAGCGATCTCAACGAGCTTGAGAATATGAAATTGTCCAGACGAGGTTTAGTCGTGACGAATGGCGGATTTTAGAATTTTCGTGGGGTTGGCAAGTTCTTTGTAGAAATTCTCACTAGCAGGGATTTAACGACTGCGCAAATTATATATTTCTATCATCTTTACCCCAGGTAAGAACTAGTGACTGAATCACACTTTTCATATGTTCGTGCAAAAATAGCTGGCGCCCTCTATGTAATTCTTTTGAAGGATTTTTCAATATACAATCCATCTCGCGATTCTCTCCAGTCATCTAACTTTTCACCAGAACTTTCCATTATATCATATCCCCAAAATTCCACAAAAGCTACTAGAGAAGGTTCAAGTCCCCAAGACTGCCGCCTATTATGGAGCTACTCTTTAGGGCATGGCTCTCAATATCTATTGGTAAATATTAAATAAATCAACATTTGATTTGATTTCATTTCTTTAGCCCGTTCAGGTATATCTAGCTATAATATTTACACAGGAGGAAACCAAATTCGGTAAAGGAGGACGAAGGCTGAACACCTGTCAGTGGTGTCCTCTACGAACCTGGGAGCGAAAAATTCTCCCAGAGCCGAGATTCAGTCACGACAAAGGGTGGGATGATTTTTTTTGATGGATTTTCGACTTGAAGGAGTTGCACTCGATATTTTGGTCGAAAAATCAGTCGGCAGAGATTTCACAGCCGTAACAAAGTCTTTTAAAAACTCATCACCACCAACATACGATTCACGAATGGATTTAGGTCTGTCTCTGCGTCGTATTCAAACATCCGACATCTCTCAAACTCCTTTTATATTTGTGACGAAGCATTTCTCAGTCGATCCTATACCTGCGACCCACTTCTATACTCGTCCGATCACCTACATACACACGCCCTAATGAGGAAAGTCATGATGGAAACGGGACGTGTACAAAGGATGAAGAAAAGGGAAGATACACCGAGGGGATTACACAAATCCCCAATGACGAAAACAACCAAACGGTACGATATGAAGGTGCAAGGCTAGAGCAACGATGAGATCTTGGACGGCATTTATATTTCGGAGTCAATGAGGATGTCAAGGACTCGGGCGCGTGGTGGCTGAGGCTGAGGAGGAATTTGCGCCATGGCGTGTTGACAGCGGGTTTCTGGACGGTTAGGCTTGGTATGATTCAACACATAGGTGAAGTCTGAGGTGGTCCGGTCATTAAAGTGGGACGAGGTTTATCTGTACTTCACGGTAGTTAACCTGATCCGGCCCAACCCCACACGTGCTTAAGCTCCAATTGGAGTGCAACGGTAGTCATGTAACCTAGCACATTAATGAACAAAACAAAAAAAATTCGGTAAAAACACCCTAAAACTGTCTGTCTCGTGTCTATTGGTTTTCTGAGGTTTCCTGCAGGGAGTGCGTTTACACTGTTTATACAGTGTGAATTCTGTCTTATCCTTGTCCACATCGTCTCATCTTTTCGTCCAATGCTATTTCTACTTCTCCTGCAAGCCGGGATTGTTCAAACCAGCCTTTTTTCAGGACCCATATTGTGATTCTCTCTATATCATCTGGGCTGTTCATCAATGCCACAAATGACGTATCTTTTGATTTTAGAAGCACCTCTACTCGTCCCATTTCCCACTGAGGTCACGCCGAGACCATATTTTTGACATTTTGAGACGGATATCCACACTGGCATTTTGGATTAATCCCTCCGGGCACTTTCCTTTGATACAGATAAGAATTGAGACCAATGTGCTCACTTCCGATCTGAACTGCATTACTACTTTGGGCCCTACTTAGGTTCCGGTGGATATTTGAGGGTACGTATCTATAAGTAATCCTTTTTCTGCTTGTTGTCTCATCTGTAACAATATTTGCGGCTCTCCAATGTTCAGGGTCTGCCGAAGCTCGATGACCAGATATTTAAATCAACATTCAAATTTACTATTCAGTTTCAAAGTTATTTAGATAGCTGTAGTAGGCTTTCATAGTCATAGATTCAGTAGGGACTTTAATTCAATTCTTTTCTATGAAGCTACTGTCGAAGTATCAATCTTAATTGCATCTATAATATGCCTAAAGGGACCAATAACTTAACTGGCTACGAATCATTGTGGACGGAATTACTTCAGAATTTTGCTGATGTATCAACCAGAGAATTTATCGTGAATATTTTGGGTCAGCGCTCGATAGAGCCTACTCGAATTTCTACCATTGAGACGCGTGAACATTCAGGTGAAAGAAGCTAGATGCAACGGTCATGCACCTGTATTATGTCAATGCGTCAATGCGTCGACGTGTCCAGACTCATTCACCAATCACTGAATAAGCTGCTGAAAGTGCGAGTTTCCAGTGTGATTTTGCTGTGATATTTTGAAATTACCGAAGAGCTAACCGCCAATTAGCAACATGTTCAGATTTATACGGTAGGCTTGTGTGGGAGCCGCTGCGACAGTTACTGCGACAATCTAGGAAGTATTGGTAGTGTGAATTTGATAAATGCTAGTGGTTTGAATATATATATATATATATGAGAGCTTATGCCTCTATATACACATAGATCAATCATTTTCTTTACTATTCTTTCCACCATTTCTTCAATTCGAGCCTGAAACTCCCTCATCTGTTAACTTACGTTTATCTCTATCTCAAGTTATGAGCTCGGCGATACAGTCAAGAAGTCAAATTAAATGTGCCCATTGTATTCAAAGGTGTTGGAAATAGAGACACAGGGTAGTTTGGACGTATTGGCCCTCCATTTTGCAATATGTCCGGACACCATCTTGTTCGTAGTAAAGGAATTAGGTTGAGCAAGGCGGTAGCCCTTCTGGCCATCCAATAGATACATGAGTAGCTGTACGGCGTTGGCACAAGGAGGTTCATGGGATTTTCTATGCCCAGATAGCGCCACAATCGTTTTTCTCGTGGCTTAGGCTATGTGTCGCTTATACTTGTACAATTTTTTTGCATCAGATTTTAATCAAGTATGTAGTCACCTAATGTCAGGCGCAGGTTCACTAGGCGCAAGATTCGAGGCGTAGGAGAGGGTGTGGCGTACGAGGTACTGAGGAAAGACGCCTCGTGGGAACGAGGAAGGCTTTCTAGAGAAGTGGTAAAGAGGAACGCGGGTAGTCGCTCTGGATTAAGTGACCGGAGGTGACAGTAGGCCACTATGGTTGGCAGAGGACAAGAGTGAGATGTGATTAGAATTATGTAACTATTCCTAAAGAGAGGAAACAAAGCGTGATGATCTCGGTATCCGAAGTGAAAACTACATAACTATCCTCACTAGGCAATAAAGCCTAGTGGGGAGTGTAGCTAATACTATAAATACGAGCCAACGATGAAAGCGCCACGGTCTAGCTCATGAAGGTTGTCTCTGATATAGTTTGAGTAGCTTGAGCACCTACTCCACCTGGGAAGGAGGCGCATCAAACCACATTTTGCATGGCGAAAATTAAATGGATAACTCAGGTCTTTTGAGACTTTCCCCTGGGTGGGTATTAACGGATGAGGGTTGACTTGGGGTGAAGAAAAAGCCGCCATAACTTCGCAGTGGTACTTGCAAATGAAATCTGAGGCATGAGTGCTCCTCTTGTAAATTGAGTCATTTTTTCTGTACTTTTCTTTGATATTGTGTCATAGCTAGATAGCTGCATACGCAATTAAAATCTGATGCGAAAAATAAAAGTAACCTGAACATGGCACTCGCTAAGCCATATTCTTTCTTTCCTGTACTCTTGCGCCCATTATATTACTCGATATTTCCAACAAATATATGAATTAAGCGTGTCCACAAACCCACGAACAGCAACATCAATTGTCACCAGGATACCATCAACTATCAGAGACGAGAGATTGTACAAACAGCTGAGCTACGCCAGCCAGAAAGTGTGCAAGTAAATGGCCAAATACTTGCTAGTATTAAAAGGATTTGACATATCTTACCGAACCACCTCAGACTTCACCCATGTGTTGAATCATATAAAGCCCAACCGTCTAGAGAACCCCCTTTTGGCGCGCCGAAGCGGAAATTCTTCTTCAGCCTCGGCCACCTCGCGCCCGAGCCCTTGACACCTTCGCGATCTGTAACTATTCCCTTCCATTCAGTCCCAGCTTTGGCTCATCTCAGCATCTTCTCATCTCATGCAGGGGTCGTTTTCTTCGTCAGAGGCCTCATCCAGTCGCCCATCAAGGCCTCCTCAGTTTGTATTCCCTTTTGTTCCCTGCCCCCATACAGCATCCCTTTGTCTTTCAGCCAGCCTCGTCATCCCAGAAACTTTGTAGAATGTCCACCCCTCCAGCCTTGCCCCGTCGCTGCCGTACCCCTAACCGTAGAGTTCGAAAACGCGACTGAGATCTCAAAACCGAGGCACCGTTGCCCTAGCCTTTGTTGAAAGCTCTAGTCGGTTTGCCGGCAAAATGTGGGGTGTTGAGTGTGTAATGCATGTGTGGGTTTTATGGACCAAACTAGAACTCGATAGAATAGAGATAATAGAATCAGTGAGAGACTAATGGACTGAGGGAGAACGAGATGGTCATTTCTCGTGGGAGAGAAATGATATCACTTGATAAAAGTTGTGTAGGTGTTGTACAACTGCACTAAGCGTGCGTCAGGCATCAAAATATATTTTGGGCAAATAGTGAAGGAAAAACTGAGCACGTGATATATTCTTAATGTATGAAGTGCTGAGTAGTTTTCTCTAGGTAGCAACCGAGAAAGGATTTCTCCGGAGCCCTCAGAGGATAACATCTCTCCCCCTTGGAAAGTTGGACGCTATGAATGTCTGGAAAAGATAGGCGCTGTTGGCCGAACAGCGGGAGTCAATTCCTTCACTGAATGGTACGCCCAACAATCCATGATGGACCTCTTTGTTTTCTCCGACGGCGCTATGGTAGAGAATCAAGCAGGAGCCGGATACTCAATTCGACGCGGCGCAACCCATGAGATTGCCTGCGGAACCATTCCTCTAGCCGCTTCTGCAGAAGTATACGACGCAGAAATGTCTGGAGCAACAGAGGGTCTAGCGGCTGCCCTCCACAATCCCATGGTCTTTTATGCAACCAACGTAACTATCTGCCTAGATAACCAAGAAGCGGCTCTTCGACTCCTCTTGTTAACACCGACTGCAACAAGCTCTTGCCAAATTGCAAAATTTCGGCAGCTAGCAGCTAGTTGGACAAACAGGACACGGGCATCCTGTACTAGAGCAGGAGCAGTCAGTGTTAGATGGTGCCCCGGACATTCTAGAATCCCTGGAAATGAAGCAGCTGATGTTCTAGCGAAGTCGGCTTGTCTAATGACTGCGCCACTCCTACCTCTATCCATAGCACGAGCAAAAAGAGAAATTTCTCTATTGTACAACGCTTCCACCACCGCCTACTGGGTTCAGGAAGGCCCCACTAGATACAAGGAACTTGGAATTGGTCCTAGTATAGGAATAACGCCAGAACTGAAAGGTTTAAACCGACGTGCACTTGGGGCGTTAATTGCGGCTCGTTCCGGGTACGGAGATTTCGCCCTATATCATCGTCGCTTCGCACACGAAGATGCCCTGATGACTTGCTCCTGTGGCGAGGAAAAAAGCCCAGATCACTTCTTCTACTGCAGTATGGGAAGAAACTGTGCCCGTATTTGCGGTGGAGCTCGACACCCCTACCCTGGCATCAGATGGGTACTCGGCACGCCCGAGGGCGCCCTTGCCTTCGGAAAATGGGTCGAGCTCACGAAGTTCTACGACGAAATCCAAAGAGCCCATTAGATATTCCCTTACGATCTGGTATGGGGTTAATGTTAGATGGAAGGATTTATTCTTATTTTCTTGTTCTGCGGGTATAATTAAAAATTACTAGGTAAAAAAAAAAAGGGAAGTTCCTGGTAGAAAGAAATTTGCTACATTTAAATTGGAAAGCAGAGTGGCGGACAGCTGGTCGGACTCTTTTGTAATTTCTAGGTGTTGTAGTGCGCGCTAGAGCGTCGGGTAGTTCTGTAGTGACTGGGCCGTCCAGTACGTGACAATAGTCACGAGCTGGAGGGCAAGACTGAACACCTGTACGCGGTGTCCTCTACGAACCTGGGAGTGAAATATTCTCCCAGAGCCAAGTTCAGTCAAATTTCGCAATATCAAAGAAGTTGGCCCACTAGGCAAAAATTCAAATTACTCCACCATGTCAATCTTTCACTCCCAAAGAGTCCGATTCTCAACTAAGCTTCATCAAGTCTACAAGTACGACCTAGTTCATCCTCGTTTCAATGACCACACCTCTCGTCGACTTTCTCTGGCCTCAGCCGGTCACCAAATACACGCCCACGCCGATATTTATACCCGACGGAGGAAGCAAAGCGTGGAGCACAAATCTGGGAGATAGCTCTTTGGGATGGACGTGAGAGGGATCAGGACAAGTTCACAAGATGATGCAGAAGAGGGATACGTTTTCGACGGGCGTGGAATTTTGAATCTTGGCATGGAGTTTTACGAATTGAGCTTTGTGCGCGCCAAGACTTCGCTTGCGAGAGTGCAGCTGACACTATAAAAACAAGCAAACGATGGAAGGTGTTGTGGTCCGCCTCCTGGTGATGTTCTCTGGTATGGTTTGAGTAGCCTGGGCACCTACTCCACTTGGGAAGGAGACATCTCAGATTACATTTCGCGCGGAGAAAAGTTGATGGATGACGGAGGCATGTCTGGATAACTCAGGGTTTTTGAGAAGTTCCCCTGGGTGGGTATTCACGGATGAGGGTTGACTTGGGGTGAAGAAAAGCCACCATAACTTCGCAGTGGTACTTGCAAATGAAATCCGAGGCATGAGTGCTCCTCTTGTAAATTGAGTCATCTTTTCTGTACTTTTCTTTGATATTGTGTCATAGCTAGATAGCTGCATACGCAATTAAAATCTGATGCAAAAAAAAAAAAAAATAGTCACGAGCTGTAGATAGGCACGACGTTAAATTCAATCAAAATCAAAATCTCTAGGTAGCAACAATGTATCATTTTGTAATTACTCGAAATACAGTTCCGCCTTTATTCTGACCCAATTGATCATATCGAATAAATGCGTTGCCATTTGTCATAACTTAGCTACATCACAAGGGAATGTTCTAGCACTAGGCTGTGAACACAGTAAGTCTGGAGCAAGATATAAGGAGGTCTCAACCCCCGTTCATTCTTTGCAACTAAGTTTCCTTAATACGAGAAAATAGATACAAGTCTTATATATCACGAGAACACACGCGACAGCGATTAACGAGACCTACTCTGAGCATAACTTCCCCAACAGTATCCATCGTCCTGCTCCTGTATAGCCTAGTTAATATAACAGTACACAGCAGAGCAAGTCCAGAATATTATCAGTTAATTAATAAAATGTGAAGAGATAAGACTTCCTTCTCGCTGTACACACAATCTGATTTTATTTAGCCCGATTTGGCGCGTTGTGGGCCCATGCAGGTGCCTACGAATTCTAATATTTACATAGGAGGAAACCATTATGGTAAAAACCCTTTCAATTTTTCAATTTTTTGGCACTTTCATGTTGGGTTACCTTCAATAAGTACACTAATACTGTTATGTCCAGTATGGATATCGTTCACTTCCTTGTGTCTAGCAGGGAATCACATTTTCCATACTCTCCTCTCTCTACCTCATCTTAGCCTTGACTTCAAGCGTCAGTCAAAACTGCTCTGGCCTTTCTTCCTGCTGGACCCATCTAGTTTTTCTTACTAAATCTTTAGGATTGTTCATCATGGCCTCAAATAACCGGTTCTCTGCCTTTCTCAGTATTTCTCCTCTTCCTTTGGCTCAGCTAGTGCAGGCCATGACCACGTGCTTCACATTTTGGGACGGATGTCAACATTTGCATCGTGGGTTATCTACTCCTGGAACTTTTCTTCTGTGCAGATAGGAATTGAACCCAATGTGTTCGCTTATTATCTGTATGACTATGCTACTATGGGCCCTGCTCAGGTGTTTATGGATACTAGAGGCTGTTCCACTTTGGTTCATTCGAGTCTTTCCTGATTTATCATCTGTCAAGATATTTGCTGCGTATTGATAGCCCCTGTAGCTAGCTAAGCCCTGTATTCCACCCCTGCCGTACTGGCGCAGGCAGTATAGTCCCAAGGGATTAATCTCGTAACAATAGCTCATGCTTACTATAGGTTGAACTTGTGTCGGAATTTGAAACATTTCTTGCAGTCATTGGCATTCCTTGAGACCAAGAACAACATTCTATGTTCTGCATTCTAATTTCTTTACGTTGTTGAGCGATTTCCTTGCGCATTTGGACGAGCGAGATAGTATGACATTGGGCGCAAATCTAGTGCAAGATTAGGTTGCGTTTAACTTGCGCCAAAAGGGATGGCATTAATGGTGCGTCGTAAAAACTTTCTCATTCCCCGCACAATGATTGTGTGAAATTCTAGGTTTACATGTAATTTAGATCTTTAATGGAAGCGATATTCTTTAAGCTATACTTTCTGCTCTTCTTACTCTTAAATCGCAACGATTTGAGCAGTTTCAAGCTTGATATTATTAGCTTTAAAGAGGTGATATTTTAAAGTTTTTGGCGAGAGCACCGTAGAGATCTAGATCCATAGAATTGCTGTCATGTACGCTTAATTTGTGAGCCGAAAATCAAGCTTAATTATCTACTGATCCGTATTAAGTCATAAAATATTTTGGCCCTTCCCCGCCCTGAGGTGTTTGCCAGTTAATATCTGTGAGTGTTAGAATAAATATACGGATTCTCGAGGAAATCATATCACCTTGCTCTGGTGCCTTTATATCACAAGTCTTACAATGAATGCAGCTATTCTTGTTAGGCAAAGTGCGTTAGTAGGGGTAGCTTGAGAGGCTCTTACTTCTGAGAATTAATTTGGAACCTCATTCCGATGGTTGTTGTTTTATCTTCAACATACTCATATACGCCTGCAGGACAAAAACGAGTTTCTATTCCTTTGTACTTTGGCCAAGTATTTTTTGTATGTTCTTCCCAGTTCTTGACTTGTAAGTGAACTGGTTGGTCCTCCTCATGGTTGGTTCCGGTTCGACTAACACTTGTTAATATATCAAAACTTATCTTCCCATCTGGCTTCTCATATTCAATTTTGGTGCATTCATTAGCACTCTTAGTCGCCGAGGCATCAGTTCGTCTATGACTGAGAGTCCATGGGACTCTTCCTTTCAAAATAAAAGCCTCCAGACCGGAATAAATGATTCCCCCAAAAATATTTAGTGGGGTATGAAAAGAGGGACGCATATTGCGCACCTCTTTTAATTCCTTCCAGATGCTAGACTCTCTCACGGACTTTTCATAACCAAAAAGAAGGGAGGCTCCCGTAACTGATTCAGACAGCGCCTTCCATGTTGCTTCTGCGGCAAGAATCCCAGATTTCATCGACGTGTGAGTGCCTTTTATTTTCGGAACGTTCAAAAATCCGGCAGAATCACCGATGAGAGCACCACCAGGAAATATCAGCTTAGGAATAGATTGAAAGCCACCTTCATTAAGTGCCCGGGCACCGTAGGAAATGCAGGTACCACCCTCGAGAAATTGTTTGTAAAGAGGGTGAAGCTTCATCTTTTGGAATTCATTGTAAGGCGATAGCCATGGATTAGGATAGTCTAGCCCTACAACTAGCCCAATACTTACCATATTTTGTCCAAAATGATACATCCAGCCGCCTCCATATGTGTCGGTTGGAAGAGGATAGCCCATGGTATGAAAGACTTGGCCTTTTTTGAAATTTTGAGGAAGGATTTCCCATACCTCTTTTATACCTAAGCCGTAGGTCTGTGGCTGACTCTCACTCCGCAAGTTATACTTTTTGATAACCTGTTTGCTCAGACTTCCATGACAGCCTTCTGCAAATAAGGTAGTCCTAGCGTGAAATTCCATGCCCCTTTCAAAGTTTGATTTTGTAGCACCGTCCTTGGAGATCCCAAAATCATTGGTAGCAACACCTTTTACCGAACCATCTGATTTGTACAGTACTTCTGAAGCAGAGAACCCGGGGAAAACCTCTACCCCGAGTTGCTCAGCCCGTTCCCCTAGCCATTTGGTAAATTGATTTAGACTAACAATGTAATTTCCATGATTATCCATTTGAGGTGGTGCAGGTATTGGAAAAGAGCTGGACTTGGTAAGAAATCGCATTTTATCACCTGTCACAGGTGTACATCCTGTGAATTTGTATTCATTTGTGTCTGATAACCAGTCCGGAATAAGCTCGTTGATGGCTGAAGGCTCAATCACCGCTCCTGATAATATGTGGTCTCCAATTTCTCCTGCTTTTTCCAACAGAATTATCCGAAAATCTTCATTACCAGCTTCATTCGCTAACTGCTTCAATCTGATTGCGGCGCTTAAGCCTGCTGGGCCTGTGATAGTCAGTTTGGGTACATAAGCTGTTGTGAAGATGTTAGAACCTACCTCCCCCAACAATGCATACATCTACCTCATCACAGTCTCGCTCGGTAAGTTTAATTTCTTCATTTTTGATATTTGCCCTCCTGTTAGATGTTGAAATAGGTCGAAGCTGACCAATTTCTCTTAAAAGAAAAGATGACTTTCTATAGAGGCATGGAGTCGAGCCGTTGCTAAATTCTACTGGGCATCGGCTAGAGATCAGTCTCAAACAGTTTTGCCTTAACAGATTAGACCTGAGTGATGCAGGCACAAGCTTAAGTAAAGTCATTACGCCAAGTCAGCGACGGAGTCAAGAAGTAATAAGTCTAGGGAAGGGGTTTTGTCTGTAGACAGCCTATGTGAAGGAAATATTTAACCACTTTACAACAAAGACTTTTAGAATAGAAGCTTGGTAGAGTGGCGTAAGCTGTTAGACATCTGTTTAGTATCACCTAGTGAAGCGAGTATGGAGACTAAAGAGTCTGAAAACTACAATGGAGAGTTGTTGACTAAACCCACTTAATATCAGAGCGTTATTTTTATTTTACATCAGACTTTAATTGCATATGCAACATGTAGCTATGACACAATATCAAAGAAAAGTACATAATAGAAGACTCAATATAAAGGAAGAGCACTCACGCCTTGGAATTCATTTGCAAGTACCACTGCGAAGTTATGGCGGCTTTTTCTTCACCCCAAGTCAACCCTCATCCGTGAATACCCACCCAGGGTACGTCTCAAAGACCCTGAGTTATCCAGACATGCCTCCATTATCCATTTAATTTTCGCCGCGCGATATGTGATCTGAGACGTCTCCTTCCCAAGTGAAGTAGGTGCCCAGGCTACTCAAACTATACCGGAGAAAACCTTCAGGAGGCAGCCCGCGGCACTTTCCATCATTGGCTTGTGTTTACAGTGTGAGCTGCACTATCAGAGCTCTATTTAGACTAATTACCACAACTAGCGAAGGAGGAGGGCAAGACTGAACACCTGTACGCGGTGTCCTCTACAAACCTGGGAGTGAAATATTCTCCCAGAGCCAAGTTCAGTCAAATTTCGCAATATCAAAGAGGTTGGCCCACGAGTCAAAAATTCGAATTACTCCACCATGTCAATCTTTCACTCCCAAAGAGTCCGATTCTCAATTAAGCTTCATCAAGTCTACAAGTACGACCTAGTACATCCTCGTTTCAATGACCACACCTCTCGTCGACTTTATCTGGCCTCAGCTGGACACCAAAAACACGCCCACGCCGATATTTATACCCGCAAGAGGAAGCAAAGCGTGGAGCACATATCTGGGAGACTGTTCTTTGGGATTGGCTTGAGAGGATTCAGGACAAGTTAACAAGATGATGCAAAGGATGGATACTGTCTCAACGGGCGCGAAATTTCGAATTTTGGCACGGAGCTTTTACAAATTTAGCTTTGTGTGTGCCAAGTCTTCGGTTGCGAGAGTGCAGCTGACACTATAAAAACAAGCCGACGATGGAAGGTGTTGTGATCCGCCCCCTGGTGGTGTTCTCTGGTATGGTTTGAGTAGCCTGGGCACCTACTCTACTTGGGAAGGAGACATCTCAGATCACATATCGCGCGGAGAAAAGTTGAAAGATGATGGAGGCATGTCTGGATAACTCAGGGTTTTTGAGACGTTCCCCTGGGTGGGTATTAACGGATGAGGGTTGACTTGGGGTGAAGAAAAAGCCGGCATAACTTCGCAGTGGTACTTGCAAATGAAATCTGAGACATGAGTGTTCTTCCTCTACATTGAATCATCTATTCTGTACTTTTCTTTGATATTGTGTCATAGCTAGATAGCTGCATACGCAATTAAAATCTGATGCAAAAAAAAAAAAAACTAACGAAGGATACGATTTACATGTTAAGCTAGCTAATTGGGAGGCTGGCCAACTTATGAGTCGCCATGAACGTGGCTAGTAATACTCGATTCTTACATTTGAATTAGTTCCGGAGATTGGGAGAGTTACATACTAGCCTTGAGGTTGGTTTAGAGATGAGATGAATGTATTTACTATACAATGAAGGCCAAATGAGGTCTTGTGAGGGGTGGTACTGTTTGAGGGGAGCTGTATGGGAGGCATAGTCACAGACTCAGACAGGATAATAAATTAAATGAATTATACAATGAAGTCTACTGACGAATGAATGAATTTTTATTCGTGACAGACACAAGCCTAGCACACATAGAGCATGACACGGAGAAGGCGAGCCCTTCCTCGGCAATTATATACGACGATAACTCAGTTTGACATTTGGACTACTCATGTAATGAGTGCATTCGCTGATACCACTCGAGACGTTTGTGCTAGGGAATTTCATCCATCCCTCAACCGTTAATATCCATCAAAGGGAAAACAGGAAAAGCCTGGGGCTACCCTAACATGCCTTTGTAATTTTGTATATAGCCACCGTACGAGGTATGGCCTCAAAGTCCTCCCTTTCTCGAGTGAGATGGGTTTTCAGGCTACTCAGACTTTAATACGGTGAGATGACGGCCAGGAGGCAGACCACGACACCTTCCATCGTTGCCTATATTCAGTGTCGGTGGCACAACTACCTGATAGTCGGAAACACTTGAAAAATGTGAGACCCAGAGTTCCCATTTGTAACTTCTTTACACGCTTGTCCCTCGTCCCAGCTGTCTGCTCTCCCTCAAGATGTGAAGACCCATAGACCAAGGCCCGAGCTTTGTACGTTATGGCTTAGTTTCCTCCTTATGGGTTTAAAAAATATTGTAACTTTATAATTGGAGATATCCGATTTTGGATGAGGTAAATTCCAGATTGCAATATATTTATTTATTTTTCATGTCTACCGGGCACTAGTTACAACTAAAGCCCCATCCCTGAGGGGACATGGTGACTACTAAGTGATACAAAACGTGATTTGCAGTGGCAGAGACCACGAAAATACATTTAGAGCCTGCGAGCGCTATGCAGCGGGTACCTCACAAGAAAAGCTTATATTTTACGGGGTGGGCAGATTGATGACAGGAAACTAACATTCTCAAATATGGTGGTGAAACGCTTAGCTCCTGGGGAGGTGCTTAGAAGAAAATAGAGTGAGTCCATACTTCGTCGATGGCTGGCCTAAGCCATCCAGATTGCAATTTTATTTGATTTGATTGAATTTAACGTCGTGCCTGTCAACAGCTCGTGACTAATGTTACGTACTGGACGGCCCAGTCACTACAGAACAACCCGACGCTCTAGCGCGCACTAAACACCTAAAAATTACAAAAGAGTCCGACCAGCTGTCCGCCCAAGATTGGATTCGAGGCTCAGGCGCGTGGTGGCTGAGGCAGAACGATGGAAGGGAGATTGTTTAAGTTTTTCTTTTGTAATGCGGGACTTCGCGTGCAAATTTTTGTTTGTTTTCAATTCTGGGCTACTGAATTCGTCATGGCTCAACACATAGATGCATTTTGGCATGGTTCCGGTCATTTAGGTGGGACGAGGCATTTGTACTGCACGGTAGTTAACATGATCCGGCCCGACCCCACTCATGCTTAAGCTCCAGTAGGAGTGCGACGGTAGTTACTTCACCTAGCACGTTAATGAACAAACAAACAAACAGCTGTCTGCCTCCCTGCATTCAAATTTAAATGTAGCAAATTTCCCCCTACCAGGAACTTTACTTTTTTTTTACGAGTAGTTTTAAATTACACCCGCAGAACAAGAAAGGAAGAATAAATTCTTCTATCTAACATAAATTCCACACCAGATCGTAAACACTTGGAAATATTTGATGGGCTCTTTGGATTTCGTCGAAGAAATTCGTCAGCTCAACCCATTTTCCAATGGCGAGGGCACCTTCAGGCGTGCCAAAAGAGGCCCATAGTTTTCTGCTTTCTTCGGCTCTTGTTTCGGACCCTCATAGTGACTCCTCAAGGGAAACCAGAGGAGCAAACCTAGATGCCGAGCCCACTGTTGGTGTAGGAGCTGGAGCGAAGGCGCATGAGGCTTGTGGAGGTGCACTCCCGATAAGGGGGTCACTAGGAGGCGGAGGAGGATGCAGGGCAAGCCATGCTTTATGTCCCTCCTGTAGAATCAGCCGTATTCTCTATTTGTCTGACTCAACAAAAACTCCGTTAGCTCGAAATGGACGGGCTGGACAGCCAGGGGAAGAAGCCTCGTGTGAACCAGCATAATTAAAGCATTTTATAGGTGTCATACAGGGACCATTATGAGAGACCGAGGCGCAAATACTACACCGGGCTCGACGTGTGCAGCTGTTTATGTTGTGAAATCCGTGACAGCGGGGGCAGACTTGAAGGCGGGGGCAATTATCAGCTGGCCGGATTCTAGCAGAGCGAGCAAAGAGGCGAATACTGGTCGGGAGTTTCTCTGAAACTGGCTTTGAGACTACTAGACGGAGGATTCCTTCCCACTCAGGGGATTCCCGCGATCGACGCGTCCATGAGATGGAGAAAATTGACTCAGTGTCAATTTTGGCACCTGCTAGCTCCTGCCGGATATCTGCGTCGGATAAGACCTCCGGTGATCCGGAGGAATTGTATCCGTATTTTGGAACTGGGCCTAGAAGAAAGTTTATGCGTTTTTCTTGACGTTCAATTGGTACAATTCCAGTCATGGGCTGCAGAACTACAGCTGCCTGGAGAAGATCTGTTGCTTGGTCAGGAGAGAGAGCAACCAAAGCCATGCCAGATGGAACTGAACGAATGTCCTTGACTAGCTCTGGACGGTCTAGAAGGCTTCTTGCGGACAAGGAGAGAATCTTGGTGGCGTAAGGGGTGACCAGGCGCTAGGCGAACCATGACCCTCGAATCGGGCTTGGATTTTACAGCTAATGGTACAGTTTTTTTCTTAGTCTGGAGTGGCGGGTCTGGAATAGAGGAGCATTTCTTTGCCATAGATCCGTATGACAGGGGCGAGTTTATTACTGGAGGGGGATAATTTAACTTGTTTTCGTTAGTTTGTGAGACAGTTGTTGACTGCTGAAAGACTGGCAAGCCGGCAATGACCCGAGCGGCGCTGCGTGTCATGATAGCTTTTAAATCAGCTGCAATAGCCGATGGAAGAGCACGAAAGTGTTGAACACCGGCGATTTGCTATGCTAATAGCGATGTAGCAATATCATTGGTCGTGGCCGCTGAGGGTTGGTGTATTACACGCGCTGATTCACGCGTCGAAGGGGGGGTAGATTGGGTATCTAATTTCGGAGTATGCATAGGTGGACTTTCAGAAGAAGCATGTATAGAACTGGAAAGGCCTGTACCAGAATTCTTTTTCAAGACTCTTATGG